ATCGAATAGAGTTAATCACGTGTCATTTCAGTCGTTGATTGTGTTTTGTGGAGCAAATTCAATTGGGAAGAAAAAGTGGTTAAAAAGCTCAACATGTATTCAAGAAAATGAAAACTTTAAGGTAAATAGACGCTTTAAAGTTGGTCGTTCCCTGGATTATGGCTCATGGTACTGATACTAAAACTAGTATTACTACTAACTCCACTAATGATATTGCTACTGCTACTTTTGCTGCAAAGTACTTTTGTTCTTCTTGGTTCCAAGAAGGTTTTCCTGCCTCAGTCTCCTCTTCTTTGTAGACTGGCGCTCAGTGTCATGACATGGCGTGCCAGTCTTTATGACATAATTCCAGTGTATATTTGAGCACAGGGTGTTGAACAACTTGTTTTTTTTTCTGGTACAGGAAATACATCCTGGCCTGGGTGTTTCTGCATCAGAAGGATTTATTGTGGTTGAAGGGTTTTGAAGGTCATGTGTGTTTGCGTACAGGGAAATGATACTCTGTCTTCTTTGGAAACCTTTGTTGGATTAGCTTTAATTTTTTTTTTTGAAGGCTTATTCTTCAGCCTGTAAGCTGCAACACGTCAACCCAATATTTGATTTGTTGTAAAGGCTAATGTCTTAGCAAACATCTACGTCTCGGTTGTCTGAGTCAATGATGTAGAAAAGATTGTCAAACAAGCTTCGCCTGGCTGCAGGTATTAAGAGCTCCCCTGGTGGAACAAAGAAATGTTCTTATGTTTATTTATGGTCGCCATATTTTAGGATTATTTTCAGTTGCATACTTGGCAAAATAATTCAAATTCCCTAGAAGTTGAATTTGATAGTTTCTATTTAGGTTTTAACAAAGATTATTTTAATAATGTGTATTTGCTGTAACAGGAGCATCAAACGTTTGTGTCTTGACCCTTTGACCTGCAGATATTTCCACACAGATGTGTTCAGTGTCTGTTCTGATTTTATTTTACAGTACTTCACATTCCATTATTTTTTATAATTAATTATTATTAATAATTCAAATTTTTTTCCTCCAATTTATAACGAGTAGCAAAGATAAAACATTTGATGATCCTCGTGTTAGTTAAAGGGTTATCTTGGATTTCGTGTCCTCCTCTGGACCATTAGCCTTGCCCTCATGAACTGAACCATTTTCCACATGCTGAAAACGCTGTATCCCCACCCTGTATCCACAACGTACAGTGTAAACATACACCTGCGCAGGTTTGTTTTTGTTTTTTTAATGTACTTATTTAAAAACTTGACCTCAGCTGACATGTGTCTCTGCTGCCCAGGCCTCGTGTATATAAGCCTATAAGACAGGAGTGGAGTCGACAGTCTTGGACTGAACCACCACCATGAACACCCTCGTCTTCCTGTGTGCTCTCAGCCTCCTGGCTGCTCTTCAGGTACCCGGCACTCTGACGGAGGAAGTGGAGGCTGTGGAGGTAAGTAACAAGAAAAGACGCGTCTTGAAAGGAATGTCTTTACCAAAGAAAATAAATAAATAAATTAATATGCCGTTGTTACTCTATGTGCAAACTGTGAGTTGTTTTTTTTTCTCCTTTCTCTGAAAAACTCTACCTGAAGGAGGGTAAGTGACTTTTATTTCACCGTTCACCAGGGGGTGTTTTTATCCTGTTAGTTTTTGCCCTTAGATATATTTTTTAATTAATGTTTATAATTTTTTTTGTTCCTTTTGTGGGTATTTTTCCTGCCTTTTTTTTATTTGACCTCTGCTCTTTTTTAAAGGGATTTCAAGCACATTCTGTTCCTTTTGCTTGCCTGTAATTTTTGTCATTAATGTTTTTTTGTTGTATTTGCCATTTTTGCTCTTTTTGATTCTTTTTGTGGCACTCTTTTTTTCATTTTCTTTTTTTCATTTTCTTTTATTCATTTTCTTTTATTCATTTTTTTTACCTTTCTTCATTAGTAACTACTTTTTAATCTTTTTAAAAGCTGATAATTTTTTTTTCACTTTCACATTTCACTAATTCTAATTTATTTCCTGAATTTCATTTTCTCTTCAGCTCAACCCCTGATGACAACAACGGAGAGGAGTGAGATTGTGAACAAACACAACGCCCTGAGGAGGGGGGTTTCTCCTACAGCCAGCAACATGCTGAAAATGGTAAGACGTTGGTTTGATGTTTCACGCAATCTCATGCACAATGAATGGACACATGTCCCGTCTCTCTGTTTGCCATTGTTGTATTCTCTGTCTCCTCTTCTCTACACAGAGCTGGAACAAAGAGGCTGAAGCCAACGCTCAGCGATGGGCCAACACCTGCTTCATGAACCACAGCCTGGACAGTTCCAGAGAGATCAGCAGTCAGTTTATTATCATCAAAGTGATTCTCATTATAACACCACTGGGTCACGAGTGACCACGCTGCCATTACACAGTCCATAAAACAGCCCTGGGCCACGGGACTTTCTGATGTATTTATTTACCATGTCTCAAGAAATCCTGGGAATGTGGTTTGGTTTTTAGGAGTTTAAGGAGCATTAAATGATTTAAAACGACGGCATCAAGCGAAGAGAATCAACCCTGACGTTTGTCTTGATGAAATTACACAGGTTTTCTTTTATTGCAAACACATGTATTTTTGTTTAATTAACCAACATTCTAAGACCACGGTGATAAAAAAAAACAAGAATACAATGACAGAGACTTCAACTCTTAATTTTGAATTTTTTTATATTAAAAAAAAACGATCATATAAAGGTGACAGATTAAGATCCATACCTCTCTCTCTTCTCATGACAGCTAGTGGCTGTGGAGAGAACCTGTACATGGCCAGCTCCAAGAACACATGGAACGACGCCATCCAGTCCTGGTACAACGAGGTGAAGGACTGGAGATACGGCGTGGGATCCGTCAACGGACAGATTGTGGGACATTTCACACAGGTGTGGAGAGGAAGCAGGAACACAGTACACTTCTGTAGTTTTCTATTGTTTGTCTTAATGTTACACTGGAGAAGCAGTAAACAAATGAAGTCACAACAACTCAGCTTTGTCCAGGTTTAAATGAAGCACTGTGTCTAAAGTACGGCATTTGTTAACGGCCGCTTAAAAACCGCACACAAGTTCAAATATGTTTTGAGTGAATTTTTAAGCCTTCGGAGAATCTCTGGACGTTACATGGCTTTTATTTAGTATATTTCAGCTGCTTTTTTATTGCACATATCTGTGTAAATGTTTGAAGCTCGGTGAGATCGCTTTAAAACAGCTTGAAAACACTAATAATGTTTTATATTTTTGTTTGTTTTGTTGCTGAGCTCAGATTGTGTGGTACCGCTCCAACCAGATCGGCTGTGCCATGGCCTACTGTCCCAACTCGAAGTACCGGTACTTTTACGTCTGCCACTACTGCCCACCGTAAGGACAAAAAAAAAAAACATTTTGTGTACAATATCCTTGTAAATATGTCTGTTTGTGATTTCTAGGTCAGATATGTGCCAAACTCCTGTCACACAATATTGTTTTTGTTCATTACACAGTGAAATGCAAAATAATTCCTTTTCTTATTATACTGCTCTGCTTATATGGCATTTTGTTTGTAAATCATCCGACAATTGCTGGTTAATTATGTTTAAATTTTGGAATAATACAAATGATCTCGACTATAATTTATGCAAATCTTTGGCTAATATTTAAAATGTTGTGTTTTTTTAGTATTGATGGGAGAGTGTGCAGTTTGAATTCCTGTTCATATTTCTAAGTGTTCCACCATCTTGCATGCGTGACTCTCTCCACTGTCATATCTAATGTGTGATGTTCCGGCCTACTTACTTTACAGTGGGAATGAACAGTTTGCTCGTCCCTACAAATCAGGACCCACCTGTGCTGACTGTCCCAATGCCTGTGAAAACAAACTGTGCAGTGAGTAAAGGAAACATACCACTTTTTTTCTTTTAATTTAATTTTCTGTGACTGCAGTATTCCTGCTAGTTATTGTCAAGCGACTTCTTTTACTTATTTACATTCAATTCAATCCCAACCTTTTAATTCTTCAGCCTCGGATATAAAGAATGATTCTCCTTTCTTCACTGTTCTTTCAGCCAACCCCTGTCCCTACTCGGATATGTACAGTAACTGCCCTGATATGAAGGAGCAAATAGGCTGCGGCAACTCCCAAGTGGCCTCCTGGTGCCCCGCCTCCTGCAAGTGCTCTTCACAGATCATTTAAATGCCACATGTTGGCCTCGACTTATCAAAGTTCAATAAATACACACATATATACGAGCATCAACAAAATGTGTTCGCTTGATGTTTCCATAATCACACAGAACATGTGACTTCAAAAAAACAAACAAAAAAACAGCCCTCTGTGCACAAAGAAAATAAACAGAGGGTTTGATGTTGTCAGTGTTTGACCTCATTAACGACAAGTACAGATTTCGGAGGAAATCTCTCTTGGCACGTGAAACTCTACATGCAGAGAAATGCGACCCTGGCTGTGGAGTGTGTAAAAGGAGAACTTACCAGGGTGGATCTGAATTTCTTTCTTCCAAGAGGAAACTTTAATTCCACGTTTTCTTAACCTGAGCCAAAGAACCGCTTGAAACCCCCCCTGCAGGCAGAGGCCAGAAACACAGACTTAGGTGGAGCTGAGAGAATAAAGAGAACAACATTATAGTTTAAATGGTTTAAATTCATTATAGACTCCTTATATTACATTTATAATAAACAAACATTTATTTACAGTTTATACAAACTTCACAAACAATATATTTTCAACAACGTATTCATAGTTTTTATACTTGCATTATTGTATCAGGAGACCAATAATAATTAAGAGACATTTTTGACTGAAGTTTGTTCTTGATTTAAAAGCTGATGGCGTCATGTACCATTGTATGTTAATGCATTAACTCAATTCTTTTAAAAAAAGGGATTCAATAATCAGTGATCGGTGAGTTAGTTGCAGCCTGATCAGTGAACTTTTACCACAGTAAAACTAAAAAAACTAAAAAATAAAAATAAATTTGGAAAGATTCGGAAATACTGAAACATTTGATGTTCAAAATACTTAGATCAAAATAAACATAACCCTGGGGATTAATTAGGGATTTTACATGATTTCCTTTTACATGAGTTTACACTGTATGTCCTGGAACTTTTTGACTAAGCCTCTTACATCGTGTTAACCTGCAGCATTTCTACCAAACTGAAGATCAGACTCTAACTCTGATGCTTAGTTGTGGTTTCTCTCCTCAGGGCGGCCAACGATATGGTTTCTCAGCAGGCTCCTGGTTCAAGTGAGGCTGAACGCTTCCTGCAGACAGATCAACAGGCTCAATTGTTTGTAAGTGACCCAGACTAGATTGTGTTTTTGTCTTTAGTGCCCCCTCTGGACCTACAGTAGTAGATTGTTTTCACTCAGGCTGTTGGAAAAAATCCACCCTAACCTCAGTATTATTATTTTAGTTAACCTATTGCCATATTGTCACACGCAGTGCTATTGTGTTGGAATTAGCTCAGTTTCCATGCGATAACAAGCAGTTGATAAACATACGGTCTGAATTTCTGTATCCTGGTCCGTGTGCCAAAAAAGTCTTTCCACAGCAGTCGATCGAACACTGTGGACTCAGACCGGGCTGATGCCTCATTCAGCCCACTGTAGAGTAGGGCAGTAAGGGTAAACAGGTTTTGGTTTAAAAAAAAAAGTATGAATGTGGATCCCCTCTCCTTCCATGTAGGGGGTGCTATTTATGCAGTTTGAATGTCTCGAGGCGGCCTACCTACCTGAAGTAGGTGGCTAATACTGTAGGTCAGCCGAGAATGAACAAAGTATAGGCAAGAACAGTGTATAGTTAGCTTAGAAGTTAACTTAACATAAAAAAAATAGAAAAAAGTATTAGTTACCAGCTCTGATGAAATAGTCTGAAGTAGAAAAAACAAAATAAAATGAAATAAAACAACAGGTTAGCTACACAGATAGCTACAATCCCAGTTGGAAATAAAATAAAGTGTGCAACAAAAAAAAAAATCTATTAAAATCTAAATTTCTTTGGCAGCTGACCTGCTTTGGTCTGCATTACTGCCCCCTACTGGGTCACAATCATCATTTTTCAAATATGAATATGAGGTCTGCATTACTGCCCCCTACTGGGTCTACACTGCTATTGGAGAACACACCACAATCATCATTTTTCAAATATGAATGAGCGCAAAAGTATTTAAAACAAGGAAACGTCCTGGATACTCCTAGATTCTGATTGGTCACCTGAGTGAGCGTTTGTTTTGAACCCGGCTATTTAAAACAAGGAAACGTCCTGGATACTCCTAGATTCTGACTGATCACCTGAGTGAGCGTTTGTTTTGAACCCGGCAGCAGAGTAAAGAGGCTGTGATGAGGTTCAGGCCACAGTCAGTGGATGTAGAAGGAAAATCCACGGGTTGGTCCAACCTGATAAGACGGGTCGTGCCACCCAGGGGTGCTTATCAACTCCAACCATGGGCCCCAGCAGTTGAAAATGTTTATGACTTTGGCGTCAGTTTATCTTCCTGTTCAGCTGATACTGTATTACAGGAGGCGGGGGCAGGGGCTAAGTTCAGGAAATGATCTGGTGACTTTTTAAAAGTTAGAAATGTCACTGAATAAAGACAGAGGGAAATAATCTGTTTCCTCTGTCGTTCACGTAACCAAGGTTGAACCCGGCGCAGCAGGGAGGTGGGAGGGGGGGAGGCTGAGGGGGAGACGTTTAGATGTGTTCATCAGTGGAGTAACGGAGTCTGGGCGACAGCACTTACATATTTGTGTCCAGACCAAAGACAGCTCATTTAGTCTGAGCTGTTATCTCACCGCAGCACGGTCTCTTTGGATTTGAAACAGGAAGCTGGGGGAAAAAAAACTCTCCTCACTTACAGCTGACCATCAGTTTGAGAACTCAGTGGGACGATCTCCTTGACTCCCCGAGTGGAAATATCCTTGAGTGTTTTGGTTACATTTCCTCTGCATTAGTTATATGTGTGTATTCTGTATGATAACTACAACCCACATCTGGTCCAAAGACTGGACGGGATACAGCTGTAAAATATAGACTATAAAGATGGGCACCAACCAGTCAGTGTTCAGGGCTGTGTCTGTGCAGGAGTTCTTTATTTTCATTGGTCAAAAGCCCCAATTATCCAGGATCAAAAATGTTTGTAGAACTCTTTTCATCCTTTTGTTTTTGGCATTCATGGACCAGAGGTATGATGGGGTTTGTTTGTTTTTTCATCTAAACCCAATAACAAAAAAATAGTTCTATGTATATGTGGTGAAACGTCCTTTATAAAACACATCATTTGATGTGTGAGAACAGATGTGAGCAGTTGAGAAAAAAAATCAGTACAGTGATCCTTTGTTTCTTATGATAATTAGCAGCAAATTAAATTGCTCACACTGTGAAACAGTCCAAAGGTAGAACAGACAGACAGTGGTGACTGAAAGACTGTTGTTCTGCCTTGAAGTCCTTCAAGTTGTTTACTTTATGAAACAGACAGAGGGAAACTGTGTTCTGCTGAGTTTCCTGATTAAAGAATTTCTTTACAATTTCTCCTCTACATTATATTGTAATGAAGAAAGCCGCGGCCCTGGGACCCTGATTGGGACATAAATACTCAGCCGAGCCTCTAATTACAGCAGAGCGTAGCGTCTTGGCCACTTCCTTCCTGTCAGTGAATTCCTTCTGATGCAGGACAACAACGCCTCAGCTCCGCAGCGCTGAACCTCTTTAGCTTTCATCACACAGGAGGTGCCATCTACACCTCCGCTACCCCTGACAGATCACATGTATTGATAAAGGCACAAAGGAAGTAGAAATGTGGGCATGGTAAACACCTGACTCCTAATCTTTGGAAGATAGATGGTTCTACTGTAGCTCCATACTTCCATATATTGTCCCCAGAAACGTGCAGACCGTTCCACTGTTCATACAATGTGGGGATTTTCTGCACCTCTCTGTTTCCTTAAGTGTGTGTGAGAATATTCTATAGTTTCACCGTGACGCTCATGTCGTTGCCTAAAGAATCAGCGGCAGCCTGATTCTTGGCAGACCTTTTCTCCTCCCTGCCTGTCTGATATCTGCTGTCACTCAATGGTCCTGCAGCAAATGTACATTAAACAAACATATGGAGACGGGGCCCCCCGCTAGGGACGGAACTTGTCAAAGTGGTGGGAGTTTCCTGAACAACACCGCGTGGCAAAACATTCAATCAACCCCGACGAACAACTGTGGAAGAAATCAAGTCAGACTCAAAAGGAGCTAACTTGAACCAGTGCCAGTGTAGTGAATATGAGGCTGATGATTGGCTCAGAACAGGCTAGGTTTGTTGTTGATGGTTTGTTTGTTGTTGATGTCCAGAGGTCACAAAGGAACCGCTAACAACAAAAGTCAGAGGCAGGAACCATGAATGATAATACTAGATTAATGTCATGGGATCAATTTCACTGTTGGCTCAGTTAAGGGACTAGATTAGATTAGATTAGATTAGATTAGATTAGATTAGATTAGATTAGATTAGATTAAACCCACACTCTGGAATTTGGGGCGTTACAGCACGAGAGGATTGAAGTTGAATAAACTGTTAATTGTAAAATGAAAAAAGTGACAAAAAAATTTTTACATCTTTAATATTAGGATTGAAGTTGAATAAACTGTTAATTATAAAATGAAAAAAGTGACAAAAGATCTTATTTTACATCTTTTATATCTTTCCATTTTCCATTTAAATACATAAAATGTTAAATTTAAAATGTATTATATACATTTTTATAAACATTGCTGGACATTTTGATGTTGCAGTAGTTCAGAGACACAGAGACTTTTTTTTTGACCCTTTTGAAAAGCTTTGTGAAATGTCAGGTTTTTAATGTCAATTTATTTAATACATATCCCTGTGTGAAATTCCAAAAATATGTGGTCTGGGAAAACTTGTGTGAAATCCATATCAGTGTTAAAGTATTACCACATGAGTGACGCCCGACAAGCTGACAACTACAGCGAGGGCTAACCAGATGATTTTCTCCAGAATGCCCTCGTTTCCCTGGCTGCTACGCCCACTGGTCTTGATAAAACATCAGCCTCACTGGTCTTTACGTCTGCTTATCACTGTTGACATGGTAATCTGACACAGACCCATGGCGTGTCTGACATTCATACAGAAAGGGAGGGGGACGGGGGGGGGGGCATTCCTTTTTTCCCCCCTTCTCATCTCTGTAAATGTGTTTGCTATTAGCTCCTGTCAGACATTTGCAGGGATCAAATCTATACGCTTCACTCAGGAATGGTTTGGTCATGCAAAGGTCAGTCACTCACGGTTCATTATTCCAGGGACATTCCCCTATACAGCAGTTACATGACGTGAGAAGAGACAGTTCGAAAGTTCAGCTCCATCCAGAGAGATGGGGGCGGGGGGGCTGCACCATCTGTAGCTGTAAATCCTTCACTGAGTTTGCAGCCAAGGCTCTTCTAAAGGTTTAAGTTACCTGTTTACATTGGTGGTTCAAAGATAATATTCGAAGAAGTTAGTGAAACGTTATACTTAAAGACGCATGGAATTGTTGTCTCCCTGGGGAAGAGGGGACAGACACATGGATGGGGTCTCCACAGAGCGTGTACATGACACTGCTTCTCAGTTTAGCCAGAATGAAAGGCACTTTTCTGGGAAAACAATATTAACGGCCACAAATCATCCATAGGTAGAAACTAGAAGAGGAGACGAGTTTTGGCTTCGTCCAATTCTATGTAATCACTTCAACTCAGACAACCAAGACAAAAAGAATCCACTGATTTCTTTTTTTGTTTGTAAATCAGTGCATTATGTCTGTATATAATATACATTTGCTAAGCTTTAGCCATTTTTGCTATATTTTCTATGACTTTATTCTATTCCTGGACCAATCAAATCGTTTTATAAGCTGTTCTCTGAAGCCTTTAGTCAATGCTAATCAGAGACACACTGATAGAACAAATAAATTAATACTGAACTGATGCAGTTAGGATGGAGTTTCATCCTAGGAACTGCATTATCAGTTCAGTATTTATTTATTTTTTCTTCACTTCTTTAAAGCTGTATTCTCATCTGCCAACACCTGGAGAGACTATAAAAACAAGGAAATAATAATAATAATACATGTGGGGCCTATGGTAAAGTGCTGCAGGTGGAATAATATTTAAAGTTTTAATTTCCTCCCCTCACGCACATTTACACAAGGACATACCTGAGAAAACTGCTGACCTCAGACCAGCCGTTTGTATAAACACAGGAACTGTAACCAAGTCTGTTTGGATTTATGGTGTTGCTGTATCACAGATTTGC